TTTTTTAGGTCACAGTATAGATATAGCAAATGAAATGATCACCTCTATTAAAAAAGCATTCGTTAATCGTTTACCAGATCTAGATTGGCTTGATGATAAAACTCGTAAACTAGCTGTTGAAAAGGTGAACGATAGAAGTTTGAATAACTAAAATTTTAATATTTTCATAGATAACTTATTTGAGTTATACGTACATTTGTCATAGGTTGATGCCATTATTCAAAAAATCGGTTATCCTACAAAATCTCCTAACACATCAGATCCAATATCCCTTCAAGATTATTATAGAAATGTAAAGTTTGATCAAGATGATTATTTTGGTAATTTGTTGAGTTCTCATTTATGGGCATCTGACATACTATGGAAGGAAGTGGGTAAACCGGTAAATCGTGACAGTTGGTACATGAGTCCTCAGACTGTTAATGCATACTATGTACGTTTTTAGTTTATAAGTGACTGATCATTGCTTCTGTGCTATGAATAATATTAATATTTTACCGTTTTGTTCTTTTATTAGAATCCTACTGGAAATGAAATCGTATTTCCAGCTGGTATTTGTAATATATATCTTTTCCTTTTTCTCCAGTGTTTATTATTATAAATTAATGTTATTCATTATTTTATAATATTAAGGAATACTTCAATTTCCATTCTTCAGCTCCAAAGCGCCAGAATATATAAATTATGGTGCTATCGGTGCGGTGATCGGGCATGAACTTACGGTTTGTGTCAATTCGATAATATAATCGTATTATGAAATGTTAATATTAATATTTCTTTATTTTTTTTTTATTTTGATAGCATGGATTTGATAATAATGGGAGACAATATGATGCGACTGGCCGGTTAACTCAAGTACGTGTATCTTATTTGATAATCATAACTATTTTATCGAATTAATTATTTTAATTATTTTGTTTTGATCGTGTTATGATCGTGTTGTAGTGGTGGTCCAACGCTACCATTGAAAATTTCAAAGAAAAAGCGGAATGTTTTGTTGATCAATACTCAAGTTATACTATAAATGATACAAAAGGTGAACCAGTACATTTGAACGGTCGCCTGACCTTAGGAGAAAACTTGGCAGATAATGGAGGGTAACTATATATATATTATAGCCATTTAATATTGTATACATTAAGATTCTAATAACTAATTGATTTTGAAATATCAAGGTTAAGGGAAGCTTATGATGCATGGTATACCCGATACAAAAATGATTCAGACAGAGAATATAATAATTATTTGTTGCCTGGGTTTGATAATTTGACTCGTGAACAACTATTTTTTATTGCGTATGGACATTCTTGGTGTTCAAAGATAAGACCTGAAACGGCTGTTGAAAGGGCAAGCAAAATAAATTATTTTTGGTTATTTTTCTGTCTTTCGTTAAACTTATTTAATATAATCTATCCATCTGAATAAATTATTTAGGTTCATACTGATCCACATTCTCCTCCAGCTTGGAGAGTCAATGGTGTTTTACGTAATTCGCCGAAGTTTTCGGAGGTCTTTAAATGCAAACCAGGATCAAAAATGAATCCAGTAAAAAAATGTGCCCTATGGTAAACAAAAGAACGAACATTTGATTAGTACTTATATATATATGTGATATATATATATATAAAAGAAGACATACTTTGAGCTTTCAATTTAATTAATTTTTTCATTTTATCAATCTCATTTGATTTTAAAAAAATTAAAAATATGCGCGTTTTGTTTTTGTCAAACAAAAAAAAATTAAACTTACAGACTTGCATTAGCAATAAAAAGCAATACAACCAAAAAAATTTTAGTTAGATTATATTTCACACAATTCTGAACGTATCCTTTTATGTTATTCATATTTTTACATCTAAAAATTTAGTATTAAAGAATCAAATTTTTTACAGGCATTAACTTCGTTTCAAACAGCGTGTCGTATTATGTTACCATTTTAAACACAACGCGACTATAAATCAATTTTTTATGCCCATGAACGTTATTTAGAAAATCGCGCTTCCTGAAAGTGGCATACGTAGTTTAAAATAACGCTCATGCGCGTCCCAGAATAACGCGCACCCATATAAAAAGCTGTTTTGCCTCTCAGTGTCAGTTAATAATTAGTATGGCAGGCAGTGTAATAAGATGGTACTACAATAAGAATCTAAGTATTTCAAGTATTCCAATTAACAAATAACTATTATACTTACTAAATCAGCTTGGTGAGAAGAGGTTTAAGAGGTTTATAAAGCGATCTATTGATTAGCATGGACATTATTTGAAGATCAGGTTTAGAAGAAATTTTGTCTTAAAATGACGCGTATATACTCAAAATAATGCGCAAATGGGTGTTATTACGCGTAAAAAAAAACCAATTATATATATTATGATTGTCACTATCTAGTATAACATCACGAATCAGATTATCAACTTGATATAGGCACCAAGTTTGGCTTGTTTAAAATCATTTTTCGAATAGAATTTGAATATAGTTAATGACTACCCTTAGTATTTAACCTTTTTTTACAATTTATAATATAGGCTTGGTGCTAAAAAAAGAAATCAAATTAATAAAAAAAAAGGTTTGTGAAAATTTAATTTTTGTAATAGAGAAATTAGACGGTATATAGTTCTTAATACAATATTATAGTTTATAAAAAAAATAACAAATTTTATTTTTTAAAAATTAATATAGATGTATCTTTATAGGGTATATTAAATTTTTGTTATACCTGTGTTTTGCATAATATAATTATAGGATATACAGATTACCCTCATTAATGCCAATCTTGTTAATATTAATCTAAACCACAAAACGAATTTTTATAAATTTTTATATATCAAAATTCTTTTATATATATCAACTTAAATATGATTTCTTATTAATATTAGGATTTTACTAAAACGCATCTATGGTGTTTTGCACCTATGTATACATTATCTCAAAAACTGGCTAATTAATCGATGTGATGTGTTCTAAGTAAAAATGTTCTACGCCCCAAAAAACCCTTCCCAAACCTTAATTCTAACCTTAATATTAATTTTAATATGAAAAAATTGGTGTTAAAAATTTTATATACAAAAACTTATAAAACTTAGAAAATTTTAAAAAACATAATCAAAACATATAATAGGTGCAAAACTACCATAGGTGCATTTTATAATAATTGTAATATTATTATCAATATAATTTAAAATAAATTTAAATAGGTTGATATTAATAAGGATAATCTATTGTTTTTTTTAATATTAATTTTTTAATTTTTTTTAATTTTTACTTTTAATCATCAAGATAGAATCATTGCAAGTATTATTATTATTGAAGTTGTAAATTTTAAAATTATTTTGTATTATTATATTATAAAATTTGAGTATTGTTAATCATCACCACAGGTGATTGTCACCACTCATATATTCGACCAATTAGATTGCAGGATCTTGTGTAACCAAAACAATAGTGAAACTGATTAAAAAAAATTAAAAATCACTGATAACAAAATATTTTACTATGATAATGCATCTTTGGGCATTAAGTAAAAGCTTTTAACGCGCAATTTTACATATAATTTACTTTTGAATACATTTATTCACCGCACCCTGCAATGTCACTAATTTACCGCCTCTCATATGATTGACCAATCAAATTTTAAGATCAGGTGTAATATAGCACAATTAGAAATTTCAAAACAAATGTTTGCTTTGTCAAAAATTGTTTATAACACAAAACTTCATATATAAAACTACTCTTCGTATTCTAAAAAAAAAATTTCTTCTAAAATTTTACTATAAAACCTCTCTTCAAGCTTATAACCTACCCTTACCTCACCCTAACCTTAACTAATAAAAAAACTGTTTGTTTTGATTTCATGTTATATCTGATTTTATGATCTGCAGGAATGTGGCAATATCGCAGAGTACAGTATATAAATTGTCTCTTTACTTTTATAACCATAAACCCACCAAACCCTAATTCCAAATCTAGACTCTTTACAAATTTCTAGTATATATAGTAACAATCACCTGTGGTGATGATTAGCAATCCTCATAAAATTTTATATAAATATTTTTGATATTATTATTTATTATTCTTGAGAATATGAATATTGTTGTTTTTGGTAGTTTTTATTATTATATTATTAAAGTTTTGTTATTTTAGATATTATCATATCAAAGTAATATTTGGTGTTTTTGTAAATATAAAATGTCTTTTTTTTAGTGATCTTTTTTTATTATTTAAATTAAAATAAAATATATAATATTCTTATATTTTTAGTTTAGATATTTTTTTTTTTCATTTAGACAGATTGTGCTAGTATCTTTTATTTAATAAAGATCAAATTTGTAAAAACATCATAAATATTAAAATAGAGACTGATATCCTGTAGTTGCCTTGCATTACCTAACTGATTATTTACATACACCTACAGATGATCTGGTCATACTAGCAAGATATGATTAATTAAGATAATACACTAACTGAGGGCTAGTCTGACTATCACCCTACAATAAGATATTGCCAATCTGATGATATCTTCTCATAGAAAAGTGAAAGAAAAAGAAAAAATTTTATAAAAGAAACACAGAGGTATAGAGGAGTACATAAAAAAAACAAATAAAAAAAATAAAAGAAGAAAGAGATTACAAGAAAAACTAAACTAAATATAGGAATTTTCACTCATACCAGATAATTATAATTATAAATCTGTGTTGGGTTCTTTAAAAATTACATACTACTATCTAAACTATTCTCTATACTAATTTATATACATAGTATATCTAAACTTAAAATC